TTATGCAATGAATAAGGAACAGTAGATAATAAAGTCATGTCTAGATGTCAGATTTTATCCAAAGAATTGTGACAGAGATATACAATGTAATGCAGTTAATATGTAAATGCAAAGAAAAAAAAATAAAAGCATTCTTTTAATCATAATTAAAAACATTTTGATGCAGAATTAGTAATTGTAAATTATTAGATATTCAATGAATAATTATGTAGTTACTTCAATTACCTTAGATTTTCCGACCACTCTTCTACAATATAGATCAGGTTAGGACATCACGTAAATCTCGATCAACAGATGGGCATTTTTAAACCAAAAATATAATAAGGTAAAAGTTTAAAATGAATTCTGACGGGACTACATTTTAGTACGCTGAATGTTCTGAGTGTTTCATTACAGACAATTAGTTTTTGTTAAAATGTGCTTCCCTTCTGTTAATGTTTGAAATATTGCAAGGATAGATGGTTTCATTTCTTCGAAAAATGTAAATAGTAAATCACACATTAATAAAATTGCCCAGTGGTGATGTAGATTAAGCAAATTTCTCAAAGGTCTCACTGGCCCCAAAACAAGTGCTGTCCTCACCTACGCATTTGAGGGTATTGTAACTTTACTCTAAATTTGAAATAATACCTCTTAATTCTACATCTTAAACCAAAGGTTTAGAGACCAGTAACTTTTAATAATAACAAAACTTTTTGTGTATTTAATTACAAAAATATTTATTTAAAAGTGCAAATATTCAGACATTTACTCCAAATGATTTATTAGTTTCCATCTCTTTTGGGAAACTGCATTAAGAATACCTTGACCACATTTCATCAGTTCCAATCACAATTTTCAAAGACATGTTACCTACTAATTTGTTCTTTCAACATAATTGTTTTCTTTTTTTAACCTATTTTTCAATTACTTCTAGAATAGACTAATTTTTTTGGTTACAAATTTGGCAGGTATCAGTCACGAAGATAAAGAGCAAAGTAAGTTAATTGTTTAATGTGTCTGAGAAATTATTCTGCTATTTTCAATTTCAGTGTAGAATTTAATTATTTAAATTAACAGGTTAATTTATTAATTACCTAAACAAAGTTGCCTAGAAGCTTCCTGATTTTTAGAGGCACAGTTTTGGAACATATAATAATTGAAAAACTAATATATTCTCTCATCTGTTCATACAATAATATATTCCATTTTGAATATATGTGTCAAAGGGCATCTCTCATATGTAAAATTTGAGCAAAAAAAGCAAGTAACTGCTAGTACCTCCGCAGAATTTTATTTTAAGCCACAATACTCAACTGTTTTAACCTACAATACAAACTTCCAATTTTGTAATGCTAATGGAGCCTATGATTGTCCAGCAACAATCACTGGCTGCAATAAAGTTGGATGCTAATGTATCTAGTTTTGGAAGACCCAACAAATCTTAATGTGTTTCACAGATGATAACTTTATTCAGCCATTTCTGTGTTGGGTTCTTAAAAACATTCTTATCCTTTCGATGGAGCTAAAGTCTGCTCATATTGGCAGCGCAATTATACTCTGCCTCCCCCTCCTCCTACATATTGATGGGTAGATTTAGTCTAGTTCAAGGAATTGTTAACAGCAATAATTGAACTTAGAATAAAACTACAGAACATATTTGAAAATTTTGGTGGGCACAAATTCATCCACATGGGTTTGTATTTACTAAGCATATTAAGGTGGTCGTTATTTTGGTCAGATTGGTTTTCTTTTACCTCTCATTTCATTATATTCAAAAATTTAAAAAAATAGAGATATCAATTGTTAGATTGATAAATCAATATTAACATGTGGTATGAAGCACTTAAAGTTCTTTAAAAGTATATTTTGGATTCTTATTTTAAAAAAAGAAAGCCTTTATAAATAATCATGGGAGAAAAAAAGAAGAAAAAAACTTGGACTGTCAGTGAACATTTTTTACAAATAATATTTTTTAAATAAATATGCTGTTGAAATTAAGACTGCATGGCACTGATACTCCTATAGTTCTATGCTAGACCAATCAGAAACTGAAGTATCAGATAAGAAGTAAGGGATATTAATAAAAATTGGGAAATACAATGATTTTATCAAATTGTTATTGTTTCAATACATTTTGGATTATTGAGCTACTGTTCGAAACAAAATAGTTGTGTTTGGTTTATGTTTCTGTAATAACACACAGAATCTAAAGTTAAGTTGAAAAAATGTTGAAAATGTTTATCTTTCCATAGTTTAATATTCTTGAATGTACTTATTTCTCTACAACTTGTCATTATTTAATTTTTTAATGTATTTATGGAGGAAAATGATTCATCATTATTGTTTTTAACCTATTTAACAAATTGTAGAATTTGGTATCAAGAACAACCATAATTGAACTAACACATTTAAGAAATTTGTAATATTCTGTTCAATTTTCTGGTAGTTATTTTACTACTTAAGTCACAGCCCTCATTTCAATGGCAATTTTGAATTAATATGTAATGCAAAAATTCTTAATTTTCATCAAAGATGAGCTCTTTAATACATATGAAGTCCTTGTTTTTATGAGGAAAAGTATATCCAAAAATTACTCTAAAAGAAACTTTCATGTGTACAATGGTATGGGTATAAAAAATTTGCACCTTGTAACAATTTTTTCAATGTAATGAAGTGGAGAGATCAAAGAAATGCCAAGAAAATACCTTTGCCAAAATAACATCCATTCTCATGTACATACTAGGATGCATAATTTCTAAGAGATACACACTATTCACCAAACTTCATTGTATTGAGTTAGAAAAAGTAAAAGTACAGAGAAAAAACAACAACAAGAAAAGAACTACATCAAATCACATACAATATTTTTCTATTTTAATCTAATTTGAACTAGACACACATCACCTGATGCAAGCTCCCTTTGTGCTCTCTTAAAATACTACATTTAAACATTATGAATATTCAGTTCCTAGATAAATGTTTATTCAAATGAATGAAATGTTAAAATTTTGTTTATCATTATTAATATTGCTGACAAATATAAATAACTGAAAACATAAAATTATCATGTATAAGGATATGATAAATTAGAAAAAAGTAACTATTTTACTTGTATGAAAACTGCTCTGAAATTGTTCTTTATTATTTACTTCCAGATAATATTTTTAAAGGTAATATTCTACAAACAATCTCTATTGCAAACAATAATGAATAATTGTCTTTATACTAATAAAGGAAGACAGGAAAGTAAAATTCACAATATGTCTTATTCAATTTGTAATAATCATCATGCTGTTCACTTTTACCTTTCACGTTGACATTACAGAGCATTGTTCAACATCATTACACAACATTGTTCATTCACAAAACTTGCAATATAATTATACTTAATGGTATAAAACTCATATCTTTAATAATTAGATGGTTCATTACATTTTTAATATGGAAGTGCAATAATTTAGTATTTCTTCTCAACCACTATAAAACCTTGAAGAAAGATTAAAGAATAAGTTTCTGCATCTAATTCCCATTCAACAGATTTTTAAAACTGATTCTAAAGAGGGCAATATTAACTCATATATTATCACACATTTATATCTTAAAAAGTGATAAAGGGTTGTATCTTTTCTTAGGATTTTTTTATTTTTAAATATATATTAATAGAATCAAACCTTATGAGAAGAATTCATTTCCTTAATTTGGCATTTCTGGAAGTGTAATTCAATTCCCCTCCCCTAAATTTCAGTTGTGCTGAAGATGTACACAGGAGGTAAGTTAATGGCAGATAGGCTTTTCAATTTGAATTGCTTAATTGCTTCTGGTCTTGTCATGCCTGACTGGCTGGTTAAATGATGGCTAGCTGGCTGGTTGGCTGGCTGGTTGGCAGGTTCATAGCCATGGTTGTAGGGACCAACACAGTGAATGTGCTTCTCTCCTCAACCTATTTAAACCCACTTATCTACTTTCCCTATCATTTTTCTATCCTGAGAGCCAATCATTTCTTAAGAAAGACAAATGTATGTCTGTTGGATGACTGAAATTGTTGTTTTTATTATTATTACTATTATTATTATTATTATTATTATTATTATTATCATCATCATTATTACTATTATTTAATTACACTTTTTTTCACCTCTCTTTGGTTTGTCTTTGAGTAAACCTCCTAAACTTCCTATTCCTACAAATCCATTTTTTTTCTTTTACTTGTATGTTTGTGAGTGTTTATCCACATAGCAGCATTCTATAATTATATTTCCTCATCTCCAATTGGTTGCCTGAATAAATCTGGATGCTTGTTTGAATGTTCAGTTGTTTGTGGTGGTTCATATGTTGACACAAATGGTTGGCAGACTGATAGCTTTTTTAAGATGTCAGCGTGTCAATCAGTTTGTGTGTTTTTGTTTAATGATTATACCTTTTCTTGTTATCCAATTTCCATGCCTGCCAGCCTGTCTGAAGGTCTTGAATCATTTTCAATCTTTTGGTGTCTTTCTCTGTATGTCTGGCTGTGTGTCTCCTGTGAAGCATGCCTCCTAGCCCCACTGGCATGGGGTGGGTCCCAGCTTTCTCTGTAATGTTAATGGCAAGGCTGTTGGACTTTCTAGAAGCCAATTTATGCATTACCTTGCCATAGCATGCCACTATTACAATTATTTTGCTTGCTTGCTGTTGTCACAGATTTTCAATTAAAGTACAAAATGATTAAATTTATATTTTTATTTAAAGTGAATATTTTAAATAAAATATACAAATGTTTGTATGTATGGCTCTTAAACAATATCTTAAAATAATATTTGACAACAATGCATCCTTGATATAATATTTCAAATTTCTATCCATCTATGCACATAATTTCTGCTCTTTTCTCACAGTTTCTTATAACTGTCACATTTCAAACCAAGCAATTTCTTTAATTTCTTCTAAAAACTCTTCCCAAATAAAAAAGAAGTCTAGTGTTTGTTTTGGTGATGGCTTGAGCTCTCTATCGTGTGTTTTTCCTGCTTCTTTTTTTCTAGATCTTGCAGAACCTCCAAAAAAAGCGCACTGAAAGGAGGGGACGTCTCAGCTCAGAGGCTCCGAGCAAAAAGAAGTCAAAGTTCAGCAAAAGCAATCTCATTTTTAAGGTAACCTTGGTGCTGTTGCTGATGATGCCTTGGGTTTCGTGCATGGTTGCTGAGACTGCGCCCCGCTATTCTTGCATGTCCCTCGCTCTGCTCATCTGCATGGTCTTGCACTCTCAGTGTAAGACCTTTCAATCACAGGAATTTCTGCTATATATCCCATGCTTCTTTTAGGCTTGCTTCTCAGTGCCGACAACGCAGACAGTTCTGGCAGCTTCTTTCTTTTCCAATATAATTTTAGTGCTGGTTTCAAGTGCAGGTAATTGTTTTATTCAGTGATTGTTAAAAGGAGCAGTTATAATATATGATATATTTGAAAACCTTCCTCTCCTGGTGAACCTTCCTCTACCTGACGTTAATGCGAATACGCAAATAAATTTTCTTAAAAGAAGTAAATACATTTTGGGAGGTGTGGTGATTCAGCCCGTCATGTGATTAGCTGAAAACAATGTGGGGTAAAGTAGTTTCGATAATAAGAGAGTAGTTTCTACTGTCTGCAAATTTTCTTCACATACTGAAGAGAATGTGGTGAGTCAATTTAAGAAAATCTAACATTCCCTTCTAATTTATTTTTGGTAGGTATTTCAACAAGTGTATACTAGTACTTTTTTGTTGGTTGAAAGAATGGCTGTAAGTAGATAAGTTTTACCTTTAAATGAAAATAAAAGTACTTTGGGAATATGAAAAGAGAAATAACATGAAATCACCAACAATATTTTATATCAAGCAGATTTGTTTTTTAAATTTTTTAAACAAATAGTTCCCAAAAATCAATGTAACAATCAAATCACAGATGCATTATTTTTTAATGATAGTACTTTTGTGAGTAGAAAGATGGCCTGGATTTTCTGTTCTTGGCATTACTATGTGAAATGTCCAGTCTTCAGGGCATTTCTTGCTCTTTCACCATTCCTCCATTCCATGTGGATGAAGCTTCAACATGTTTTTAATTTATGTAGGTTAATATGCACAGAAAAAGGAGTTAATACATTCATTTTATTGTCAGCCAGTGTCTGACATGAGTTATAATTTCAGTATTTAATTTCAATTTTTTTTTTTTTTTTTTAAATTCTTATATATTCTGCAGCACTTGGAAGCTGTAGAAACAGACTTACATCACTTTATATTCAATTCTGTGTACATTTCTATCTGTTAAGTAATCCTGAAGCATGTTGTATTATCATGTTGTTACAAATTTGCATTCGCATGTATATATTATGGATTATATAATAGTATGTGACATTGTACTGGATTCAAGTCAAGAAACTGTTTATTGGATTGCTTCATGACAAACAATTTATACATTTATGTTTAGTTCTTGTGTTTCAAAAGAAAATTTGATCTGGTGTGCGTATGTTCTACATTAGGATATAATTCTCTTTTATAGAATGCTTATTTTCCCTTTTTTCCACAATTTTGAGTCATATACACATCTAAAAGAAATGTTTTGATTATCCAACACCACATATTCTGCTAACATAAAACTAAACTTGTTATTCAGGTTTACATTTTAAGAACTTTAAATTTCTGTGCTGTAAATTAAACACACAATCAAGTGAATAAATATCATGTCTAGAAGCCTTGCAAATCTATCTTGTGTACAATATGTGCATAATTGAAGTTGGAGTTTCTCAAATTATCAAAGATATTAGATGTTCACAATATCCGTTCTATGAGATGGTAAGGTTCTACTTATGATGCTGCCTAAACTGACGTTTATCATTATTTTACATTGAATTACATAGAATATTTTTATGATGAAGTTGTTATTAGTTTTAAAAAAATGGATATTAAGAAAATTTCATTTCTATAATACTATAAATATTTTTTTTAAAATAAATAGAATATGCAAATAAACTTAAAATACAACAGTGCAAAATCAGAGCAGATTCTTTTTCTATGAATACGATGAATAAAATATTTTCTCACAAATATTCAAAATTTATTTATCAATGATCATTGTCTCCACAATCTATAGGAGACATTTCTTCCTAATATCTTGACTTTAATGAAGAATATAAGAATAAATAAGTCTATTTGAGAATTACAAAGCAGAAAGAATTAAATTTATATACAACGCAAATTTGTATATTCACTTTCAAAAATATAAAATTTATTTATTTTATTATTGCCATTAATTTATTTTGGGAACTAAACAGTTTAAAATAAATTTGTAATTGTTAATGAGATGTTGCACAATACATTTAATATAACTTTTATATACTTCAAAAGTAGGGTATAATTGAATAAAACTAAAAATATGTCTCTAACAAAGACATTTTCATTGAAGAGCTTCATCATTTTTTCAACATCTTGCAAATAAAATCATGAAACAACAAATAAAACAACCAATAAATAATTGTTAAAATACAGTTTTATTATAAGTGTGTTGCAGAATTAGAAAAAATTCATAAATAAAAAATTGTCCATTTTAAAGAGCATTTAAAGTTACTGGACAGTTCAGGAACTGATAATATTGTATTACCTATCATTATAAGATTCAGAAACCTGCTGTATAAGGAAGAAAGGTTAAATCTGTAACTATACTAAAAAATATTAACTAAAAATATATTCATATTTTAAATTAACATTTCATTTAATTCAACAGTCACTCTCGGGGAGTTATTTGCTATTAAATGCACAAAATTAGCAGATGGCTATTACTTCATTTTGAAACATTCACACACATAAATAATGTTTGCTTTTAATGTCATTTTGGGTATTAAATGAATCATTTGTCCCAAGTAACATTTATCGTTAATTGTAATAATCTAAAATGTTATATTGTAACAATAAAAAGTTTTATTTTTCTATCATTATGTGTCAAAATAATGATTCAGTAGGAAAGAAGAGAACTCATTTTTAGCCTAATTTTCAAATAATTTATCTTTTTTAATGACAAATAATGCATTTTACATATCTGAAAATTTTAAATGGAAAATAAATTGTTTAAAGAAACTATCAGAAACTATCTAAAACCAATTAGTGTTTTATTTTCAACTACAAAAATATTATTTAACTAGTCATAACATACACTTCACAAATGATTGAGAATACTTCTCAGCAAAGACTGAAGATGAGTCCAACATGGGGTATCTAGGGCACCCCAACTATAATGATGTCACTTTCCAAGAAAATAGCATGGACAAATTTTATTTCACTCGAAAAAAGGGATCAAAATACCTTTCTGTAAAGATACACAATAGGTTCAATCTTCTCAAGCAACACAGTTTTCACAGAAACACTGGGGAAAAAGCTGGAGGTATTGTACACACTCAGTGCGACTGCTTAGAGTTTGAACACAACCATTCTTATGAGTTCGTAAATATTTTTCAATGCATTTTTCATATGTCAAACATGAATTAATGGTTCTTTCTCCATTCTATATAATATAAACTTTGATTTAATTTACAATAAAAATAAAGTAATAAATTATTTATCAATTGAGATTTCTAAAAACAATATAAAATTATTTCAAATAACATATAAAAAACTACTTATTGACTTTTCAGACACAGGATTTGGAAATGTAGTTATTTTCATTCTTAGTTTTTAATTTCTACCAAAAATGTATACTGTCATTCATTAAAACAACAATTCATCAAAACATACTTTGATTCTACCCTATAGATTCAATGGATTATCAAAAGTAGTGACTACATTTAAAAGAAATGCAATTGTACATAATTTTAACCCCACAGTAGGCATGATAGTAGAGGGTGAAAGGTACATCTTCAACATTTAATGGGTTATCTATGGGAGACAAGCTAACTTACAATTATCTTTTATTTCATAGAAAAACTATGTAAACTCATGAAAAAAAATTTAAAAACCTTGTAAGTAATAGAAATCATTATTGCTTAATCTCATATCACAATTAATTATTCTTCTTTATTCACTATTCATTATTCACTATTATTATTCTGAAATGTCAATATTCCTCTCTTATACTCCAAGAGAAAAACTAGATTTTGTAGGCAACTCATTCACAACTGATGTAAGATTTTGAATAAGACATTTCAAAGGAAGCAGTACATGCATTGTTAACAGAATAAAAATTCAATAGTGACAAATAATTATGAAGCAAATGTCTATGTCTGGAATACTATAAGATCAACAGCAAAAAACATTTTCCAAAACCAACTCATGTGATGAACACTTTTTATTCCGTTTACGTTATTTTTACTTGATTTGACTTACTTAGTAAGAAGAGGAAGTATTGTAATAGTGCATGCAATATAATGAAAAAGGGGATAGATCTTGTTCCTACATATAGTAAATAACTTACTCTAACATGGGGTGTAGTTATAATTGAAGTTTTGTGGGTCCTTGGTACCAAAAAATTGATTTACGGCAAAATGTCTATCTGTGGTCAATGCTAGCACTTAAACCATTCAGCTGATTTTCTCCAAAATTGATATTCCCCAATTGAGAAGCTCTGAGTTTGAAATAGATATTTTGATTTTTGTGGGTAATTTTCATGAAGCCTCAATAACACTTTCAAAGTTTTCTTAAAAAATGGCTTCAAATATTTTGATTAAATTGTATACTAGAATATAAGTTTATTTTTTTCTCAGTCTTCATACAGCTACATATATTAGAAAATATTTATAGTTTTCATGTAATATGAGTGAAATGTAGACAATTCTCTTTCAACAATTATTTTCTCAAAAACTGCTCAAATTTTTTTCTTTAAATTTTCTCCTTGTACCTATCAAAATATGGTTAAAAAATATGGCTAGTGTCATTTCCGGCAAACTCACTATATTTTTGAAAATTGTAAAATTTAAGAATTCAAAGCTACAAAATTGAAGATAAATATTTTTGCTTTAAAAAAATCTACAATCTAAAAATAAATACAATTTATAGAAAAAATTGCTCCAAATTTGCTGGAATAAGCATTGCTTCAAATGTTTTCCATGAAGAAAACAAGGAATGCTTAAAACAATGGCACAGATCTTGTTTTTATTGATCTCTCTGAACTTACAAAAATTGCAAATTTA